TATTAATCATACTTGAACAAGAAACACGATTATTTGTTCTGGTGTTTTCCCAGCTCATGGTAAGGCAAATTTCTGTCTTCGAATGAGACAACTTTCAATAAATTGAATACAGATTTTCATTTGTGTCCATAGTTACCTGAAGGTGCATATTGAAATCCAATGGCACTTTTCAGAAAAGCATTCTGGCTTCATAGGCACAGATATCAGTTTACAGATACAGACAGACCCATCCCTCTTTGCCTACATCATGAGAGGGCTGAATGCAAATCAGTTCCAACCTGGAAAACAAATAGTCATCCTAATCTGGCACTAAATCTGAAGTGCCTAACCAATAGGTAGGATGGAAGATTCCTGTGTCGCTTGGTCTTTTCTAAACAAAAAACCCCAACAACTAATAAGCATATCAAATGTGCCTGGACCTGAGGAAACAGGAGGAGCACATCTGACTCTAAGAGCTGGAGAGGACTCTGAGAAGGTATCTTAACAGGGAGTAGGAGAAATAGCAAAATATTGTAAGATCAGCATTAAGAAACAGAGAGTTTACACTATTAATAAAAAATAAATATTTGAAGCAATCATATATCTGAGATTGAGCTACCAGTTATCAATTAGGATGCCATAACTGACTTTTTGCATGGTCTTAGCTTGTTGCAAATGCAAAGTAATGGTTGTTTATCTAAATGAATCAGCATTAGGAGCAGGCCAAAAACATACGGTTTTATTTCTCTTTTCACGGTCATATGACATGAAAGTTGCAACAGATATGACCAACTTTAATTGAGATTTGAGTGAATCTTAAGCCGAAATAAAAAAAAATTATTAATCGTATATTCAGTATACTATTTAAACATTTCTTAAATTTTAAAACTTACTTTTTTGTTTCTCATGAAGCTGAGAAATTTTCTCTTTATGGAATCTTAAGAAGGGCAGAGTTTTCTTCTAGTTTGTTTATTTAGAGTATGATTTTTATAACTCTTAGGAAAATTTTTTGAGTTCTGCCATTCAGTTAAGTAAGGTTGTTTTTCTTTTGTTTTTTTTTTGCATATTGCTTAAGCATAGCACAGCATTTTTTAATGAGGTGAATATCTTTAAATGTTGCTTATTTCATCAGAAAATACTGTACCTTCAAGGATAAAGTATATTAAGCATTTTCTCAAAGGGTTCTATTATATTAAAAGAATAAATAGCTTAATAGAGATAAATAGCTTAATCAAACTGAATAAAAATTCTGGGATGATTGAGGGGTTTGAAAGAGTTTCTTATCATCGCTCCCATAAGAGAAGCACATGTCTTTAGTAATCATGATAAGGATGAAATAACTAGCGATATCTTGAGCCAGTTGTCCCGGAGGGGATCCAACTCTGGCTTCTATGTGATCTGCCAACCTGTTTTTAATGTAAAAAACTCAAAAAGTGTTTGGTAAATCTATATGAAATATCAACAAATAGTAGATTATATCTGTTATTTATTTTCATCCATTTGTACTTGCATATTTACACTTCATTTGTTTTGATACAAATAAAAAATATGTATTAGAATCACAAGAATGTAATTTGATGGAATGTAGAAAAAGCAGGATATGTGTTTATGTTCACCCACATGCATCTACAGGCATCTATGCTTTCTTAAATCTACTCAGCAGCAAGCTTGGGAAGAAAGGAGGTACTATTAGTCCTATTCTATCACATGGAAAGTGAAGTAGGAATTAAAAATTTCAGTTATGTGTCCTACAGGCATTTAAGGAAAAATTTTGCCACCTCCATCTAGAACATAAGTCTTCAAAGCAGAAGCCTATTGCAGGAACATCTAAGGAATGTTGTGGAAGTCAAAAAAGAAAAGTAAATTGATTCAATGCAAAAAAAAAATGTTAATTATTTCAAAATGGACTAAAACAAATTCATGAAGGTAAAGAGGTCCATGGGGACCTATTGTCCTGTCTAAAATACCCTGAATACTGATTGCCAAAAGCTAGAAGGGCACACTAGGAGAAGAACATACTTGCCAAGTTTCTTATGTTCTTTCCTTGAACATTTGGATTGGCCGCAGTTGGAGACAAAATGCTAGGTTAAGTGAAAGCTTCATCTGATTTGGTGAAATCATTTTCATGTTAGGTCTGCACATGCCTGTGTTTTCACCGTTAAAAACCCTGGAGTGTCACAGACAAGCCTCGGCATTCTTAGAGCTTCATTCTTCTCACGTCCTTCCCTTTTTGCTCCTCTGAATTTCTTTGCTGTTGTCCATTCCACTCAATTTCATCCATCCGATTTTTCTTGCTTTCCAAGCACATCCCTTCAAGGTGCATGAAAGTCTGCTGCAGAGAGGGAGTACACCAGAGAAATCAGAGTTGTTGAGATTAATTTTTTTTTTCCTGTTTCCTTGTTGATTTCACTTCAGGGACATGATATCAGGTGGAGGCAAATTGCCCAATGCGTGAGATTGTCTACAGATACTCCTTCAGACTGGAGGAGTGTCTAACAGTAGTGTGTCATAGTCACCTTTCAATAACATTTTTTTTTTGTTGATTTGCAAAATGAGAAATAGAGGTACTAAATGAGACTAACTTCTCCAGGAGCAGATCCAGACAATAAGAGATTTTCAGCCACTTTGTAAATGGCAATGATCCAGTTGATACTGGGCACAACTATTGCTTACTTTGCTGTATAGATTTATTTAAAAATATTATATGAAGAGGCTATATAATATATACAGCAGAAGATTTCAAATTTTGGCCAAAGTGATTAATTTTCTTAGGTATTTTGATGAATATGTTATTTTCCTGCTGATGTTATCTCTATACAGACTTGAAATTACTTTAAATTCAGATAAATTGTAGTCAGTTAGTTTCTAAGATATTTCACTCATTCTTTTAGATTTCTTTCATTCAGGAAAATAAAATACAGCTACTATTTTTTCCGACAGTAATTTTTCTAAGTAAAAGGCAAATTAATTTTCTCCATTCATTGGAGGCTAAAAACCTCACACACATTCAAAAGATGCTCTCCATAGCTCCATACCTTCTAATTAAAACACAGGATGTTTTGTTTGGACCAGTTGAATTAAACCCTGGACTTTCTGTTTGTAAAACTTACAAAACAGCCAGTGTTGTGCCTTTAAAATCATGGTTTTATTAGTGGCAGATGTATATATTTCTAGGTTTTATTCAGACAACATGGAGCCTATGGCAAAACCGAGGGCACTCAGTAATTCTGTGAAATAAATGTGCAGGTCCTGTGAGCATCCATGCAGCTCTAACCTTTTCAACGTCCCTATTAGCATGGACCTTGAGACCCTCACACTCTGAACAGTGGAGGAGGAACATAAGATAGAGCAGCAGATTGTTCCTATACTAAGGGGTCTGCGTGTTGGCTGTTCTCTTGCAAAGCCTAGGAAACAATTCACACTTATTCATCCTTTCAGGGAAGAAAGGTAGATCTACTGTGCAGATTAAAAGTCTGCACTGTGGCAGGTGCTACACAGCTTCATTAGTATGGTAATTTGATGAAGGGTTGGTTAGATGCGTCTCACTAAGCAGAACTGTGTTTAGTATTTCTTAAACCCTTTACCTTTTCTCCTCATTTCAACCTGCAATTCTCATTCCAGCTGGATCTCAAGCTTCCCATCTTGCTCTTTATTCAAGTCAGTGCAAGTTCTTCCAGTTCTGACTACTTCCTCTTATCTACAGATACTTTTACCCACCACGCCTCACTAATTTATGAATCTGTCTCCCTTGATGTCTAGTGTCTTTGTACCAGCTCTTCCAGTTCTGGCTTCTTTATCTTTTCTCCATTTACTTTTATCTACCATAACTCATTGATTTGCAAGTTTTTTTTTTTTTTTTATTTCCTGACCTGCTGTCCTCATTCTCTCTGAAAATCCTAGTTTCTAGTTCCTTTTCCTACTCTTTCACTTTCAAATTTCTACATCAGACTTGGTTTTCTCCACTTCCCTTATTGTCCCAGCAAAATCCAGAATGCAGATGTGACTTGTGCCTTGTCTGCATTTGGAAAAGGCTCCCTGCACCCAGAAAAGTTGGGAGTATTACCAGGGGCAAAAGAGGCAGAGTCTCTGTTCTTTTCTGACGTGTGTACCTGGCCCAGTTCATCACAATCTAGAGGCACTCGATTTCAGCCAGAGCATAGCCAATGCAGTTTAAAACAGAGATACAACAAGTCCTTCTTCAGGTAGAATCACATTTATAGCATGCACATCTGCAAATAGACTGTGCTTTTATCATAAAAGTATCATATGTAGTATTGTGTACAATACATTCTGTTTTGCATACAATACTGTTTTAAGTTGGATATAGCATGACCATTGTTTATAGAATATTGTGATATCAAATATTTTTACATAATTTTGCTATAGCCCCTGATACTTAAAACATTTGTGAAGAGGTTTTTTTTTTTACAGTCTTTTGAATAATTTGGTAGTGCATCTCTTCACCCCCTTTGACATAATACTTATTCCTGTCATGAAACTTGAGCAGACTTTTTTTTTCCCTTACTGAAAAGAAATTCAGTGGCACAATTAATTAACTTTTTTTTTTTTTTTTTTTTTGCAATGAAGCTTGAAAGTTTTGGTCCTAAATGATTTAAATTTCTGTTCCTGAAATCACATTTATACCTAAAAAAAAAAAAAGAAAGGGCCTTATTTGCTCTCATGGTTTATTGCTGTGTCATGCATCTGTGTATGCAGAAGCATTGTCACTGATGTTTTCGCTAGTCCCTTGTTCATCATTATTTAAATGCTTCATCTGTATAAAGATGTGGAAGGGAAGGTTAGCTATATACTAAAAGATGCATTTTTATTTTTAAAAAGTATGACAGAGAAAATAATGCAAAAAAACCCTTTAAGAAAAAAGCCAAATAAAAATATACAATCTTATTTTCTCTTCTGCTATACAATCCAGGGCAACAATAGGTCTAAATTAAATTAACAGTCAAATTGAAAAAAAAAATGGTCTTTGTCTATTATGTTTTCCACCTGTTCTTGCACACCAGGAAGAAGATGCAACTCCTTTTCTTTCTAATAATTTGCCAGTGTGCCATAAACAGTGTCAATACCCACCATGTTTCAAACCCCAATATCGTTTTACTGATGGCTGATGATCTTGGTATTGGAGACCTGGGATGTTATGGGAACAGAACTTTAAGGTATGATGATATATTTGGGGGAGTCATGGTTTTATTTATTTGTTTGTTTGTTTGTATTTTAGGTTTTTAGATTTCTAAAGTTAAAACCCCTAAAACATTCACTCTTTTGATTAACTTCATTATAAGTAATCAAAGTTAATAATCTTTCCAGAGAATAGGATATTTAATCTTTGATTCTTTTCTTAATAAGAGAAAAAAGACTTAACTGATGTATTTATCCTGCTGAAAAATTGCATCATAAACAGAGAATTGAGCAACCAACTACATAAGGGTAGGACTAGAGAAGCAAAGTATAATCAATTTTCTTTTAAAATACACATGATGCAAATACTATGAATTAAGTGTATTTTGAAGCACTTGTGGCTTGAGACAAGCTTGTCGCTAACCAATTGTAGATAAAATGCTGATTTTTTTCTCTTCATTTTTCTTTATGCTGTAGTTGATAAATTCATTAAAAAGAATCATAGAATTGTAGAATCATAGAATGGTTTAGGTTGGAAGGGACCATAAAGATCATTGAGTTCCAACCCCCCTGCCATGGGCAGGGACACCTCTCACTAGACCAGGTTGCTCAAAGCCCCATCCAGCCTGGCTTTCAATACTGCCAGGGATGGGGCATCCATATCTTCTCTGGGCAACCTGTTCCAGTGCCTCACCGCCCTCATAGTGAAAAATTTCTTCTTGATACCTAATCTAAATCTACCCTTTTCCAGTTTGAAGCTGAGTAATTCAGCAATGTTCTCCAATATGATCCTTACTACCAGCTGAGGTACAATGATTGTGTAAACAGAACAGGTTGTACCTAGTCATTGTGTTTCAGAGGTGCAAAGTCTTTGATCAAGTTAAATAAAATATTCCGACCTAAAGCACTGTTCTGTCAAATATTGTTCCTGCTGAAGTTAGTTGGAAGTAAAAACTCCTTGTAACTCAAACTAAACAAAAATCACTCAAGTTACAGCTTCTAGTTTTAAACAGAAAAAAGTATATATACAACACCAATGCTTGGATCAGTCCCCTTCCAATCAGTCCCCAGAATTGCTCCAGGAACTATGTTCTCATATGTGACAATTCAGAATTAGATCTTTGGAGTATGAAGAAATTTCATCATACTGCTTGTTATTAGTAGGTGATATTAGAGATAGCAAAGTAGTCTGTTGGAAAATTAATGTTTCTGACGATTCAGACTTAGACGATGGGAGTACTACTATGCCTTGAGGTCATGGTCATTAATCTTCCAGGTCAGGGACCTATTAGAGCATGCTGCAGCTCCTGGCCAATCTGCATTCCTGGTTTTCTTTCTGCAGTATCACAGGCACAGAATTTCTTCCTGCAGGAACCAATTTTCATGTGCATGATGATCCAGGTCACAGACAAGTTTCTCATGCAGATACAGAAAATTGGATATGCCCCTGGATCTAATATTGCAGATATAGCCATGTCAGACACGTAAACATTGTTAATATAGAGCCTAACAGAGTCATGACCATTGGAATCTCTCCTAATAATTGATACCCCTACACATTACCTGTAGCCAAAAAACTTTTGCTGGGGAAAGAGAAAAGTGACACCAAGTAGGGGGGAAGGAAGCACAGGCTTTCTCCAGTCTCTCCTGTCCCCATTGCTGAAGCAGAAAAGCAGTTACGGTTCTGGGTCAAGGAATGTATTAAAAGGGATGGCAATACAACACATCCACATGTCACAGTTTAGTACTGGCCATGAAGAGTAGATGAAAGTGAGGAAAAAGATTTTTGGCACGATACCACAGTGTCTCAGTTCAGAGTTGACACCTAATGTAAATATATTTGACACGCTAGTATTTAGACTTGCAACACCACCATGGTTCTGATAATTTGCATACAGTAACTCTCAACTTGATTTTCCTGATGGGAAAAAGGCTTCGGTTGCCTTGATCTCACCATGCCCATTTCCAAATAATCACCTTTATGTATTCTTTTGTTTTTTCCCTGCATATATATGTCTAGAACCCCTAATATTGACCGGCTTGCAGAGGAAGGAGTGACACTTACTCAGCATTTAGCAGCATCTCCACTTTGTACTCCAAGCAGGGCAGCTTTCCTGACAGGGCGATATCCTATCAGATCAGGTAAAATCTCATTACTTTATGTATAAACATAATCTTTTATTTGCAGTAAACTATATGCTTTTTTTCTCTTGCCTTTCTTGATATTTTTATCATTATCAGATTAGGTACTCATTTCAGTGATTAATCAAGCTCAGCATTTGAAATCTTCCATATATATGGGAAATTCTCACATTTCAGAAGTGTTAACACAAAAATAAAGTTTTTTATAGAGAAAAGTATTTTTTTTAAATACCAAGGAAAAAGTCTGAATGTGGTTCTTTAATGGAAGATGCAGCCAAATTCCATCGACTTCCGTCACTGTCAGAATCACACAGTGGGCTCTAAGCCTGTCTCTCCAGTTGCATTCAGGCTGCTCCCAGGGTGTTGGTGGGCAGCCTGAGCGTTGAGCACCACAGAGAGGCATCTAGAAAGACACAATTGAAGAAGCCAGTGTAAATTCTTCTGCTCAGATATTTCTGTTTCTACTAAACCTTTTGGTTTAGACAAATCGTTATTTTTTCAGGGGAGGGGGGGAAGACAGTTCATTAACATATTCCAGCAGCCGTTAAAGCTGGGAAAAAGAAAGCAAAAAATCTCACTTCTGTAAGTATTTTCATTCCATATCTACCCATAGACAGAGTTAAGTATACTATGAATACATGCATTTAATAACTTCTCTTACTTTTAAAGTACCTGATCCAAAGCCCATTTGAGTCAGTAAAGATCCAGTCTGTTTTAGTGAGCTGGGACTGAGCCCCTCAGTGCTTAGCCATGCAACTTTAACATTCTCTTAACGTCATTTTTAGCAAGGATCATTATACATTAATCAGATCACTTGTTCATTAGTGATAAAACATCCTGTCCTTGCTCCTGGGAATGAAAGCAAAGCAAGACTCTGGAGCCTACTTGATACATTTGTGCTCATTCAAATCAAGTAACAAGCTTCTGCAAAAGTGCCAGCTAATATAACTTGCTAAATTTTCCATTACACTCAGCTGCAAAGGAAAACTTTATATACCTGTTACAGTTATATGGCTATTAATATTTACTGTAGGTAAAGCCACAGGTCATTTTCCATTATGATCCTTGTTCTTATTTCTGAAAAATTAGGATTTGAACTGATTTTTTTCTTAAGTGGTCTGCTCTCAGTCATACCTAATAATTGCCATATAGGTTCAAAAATTGAGCTTTACTTAAGTGAATTATGAAACTGTTAAATAGAAACTTCTTAACAAACATCAGTGAAGCACTAATAAAGGATTATTACAAAAGATACTATAATTATGATGGAGAAAAAAAAATGTTAGAAATTTAAAACTCCTGCTAATAGAGCTGAAAAAAATATATTCCAAAATGCGATGTTTGATGGAACAAACTCAGAGAAAGGTAACAATAAAAAAAAATCATGGTTCTGTACTTTCATTCTGGTAACTTAAGGGAATTACACTGATTTCAGTTGCAAGATATCGAAGTACATTCAATATAGATAAATATAGAATAATATTATAAATATATATAAGTATATATTTATAATATATAAATATAAATAAATATATAATAAATAAAATATAGATACGCATAGATGAATAAAGCTACCTAAACTGTTTGTCAATAAAGCTGGGGTAAAAAACTGAATTCAACATTAGAAGGGTAGGTTGAGCTCTCTTTAATAAACCAGTCTAATGAGTCTTTTTCTCATCTAACCATAAGGGATACCTGAGGGGAGATTCTGGTTGTCTTTATCAGTCATGTAACTTTGGCACTGCAATCATTCAGTTGCATAATTCAGACTTCCTGGAGATACATCTGCACAGATTTGCATAGATATTCTGTGTTCTGTCTATCTATAGTCGGAGCCAGCTCTCATCTGGAATCCTAGTAATCTAATTTTCATGAACCTGAATTCTCAAGTTCCTCATCCTTAGAGTAGTTTATAAGCTCAAGTTTGTGTTCCTCAGACTCTCAGTGCATACTGTGCTTTATTTAGATGTTGTCTTGTTAGCTGATACCTGATGCTGCTTTAATGCACTCTGTATACATTGAGTCACATGTATTCATGCCATTGGAGCACTGGTACTCTCCCATCAAAGCTGAGTGCCTTAGCCACTCCATTCCCAGAATCAGACTCTCTCTTGCTCTTTTTCGACCTCATGATGTTTATATGTCCAGCTGTAAAACTACCCTACTTCAACTCCCTTCTCTCAAGTAACCTTAAAGGCATGTAGAAAACTGCATGTGAAGTAAGTGGAAGTTCTGAGAGTAGAATTTGGAAGCAATCTTGCTTAGTCCACTGGCCCACTCCTTCCCCGTGTACAAGAAAAATAAATTATGGAAGCTCAACTTTTTTTCAGATATGCTGTATCTTAGAACATCTACGGAAGGGGCTGCAGCTGGTTACGTGATGGCTTGCCCCACAGTTATAAGCAGAAAATCCTTCTGCCACTTCTCAATTTCTAGTGTCAATACAGAAAAGACCGTGCTCAGCTATATGGGTGATTGTATCTGCCACTTGCAATGTTTAGTGTCTGGTGGTAATGTGTCACTTAAGTGATTCCACCTAAAGCAAAAAAGTGCATGCAGAATGAATGAATGGAAATTTTTTCACTATATTATCCAGATCTCATAAATTTTCATTGCATTTAGGAATGGCTGCCTTCTCACGAGTTGGTGTCTTCTTATTTTCTGCCTCTTCTGGAGGACTTCCTTCTGAAGAAATAACTTTTTCTGAACTCCTGAAGCAGAGAGGTTATGCAACAGCTCTAATAGGTAAAATTGCATACTTAAACAGCATTATTTTTCATTCATTTCAACAAAAGAACATTAGCTTTCCATGTAGGATACTAAGGGTCTGCATAAAGCTTTTTCCCCCCTCAGCATAATGAGCTTATTTTTCTGGCACAAAGCTGAGCACATTCCCATGCATGTGTGAAACACTAATCAGGTAAGTATGTCTAATTCACTTGTGTAGTTATAGTCTCATTGTGCAACATACTGAAGAAACATGATGAACAAATTGAAAATCAGTCAAGCTTTTCACAAGTTTTCAGTATAAATAGTTTGATTGCAACAGAGAGACAATAAGGGATCAATTGCAGGGTACAAGTCAGCACAGTAATGGAATTCATTTCACCAGTTTTCAAATATCCATGAAGTAGATGTAGTAGTACCTGAGCTATCCATCTGAATTCTCTTCTTAGTCATCAAACAGAAATGGGCATTTCTAGGATTTTTTTCTCATCATGTGGTAGATGTTTAGTATAAAAATCTGTTTCTCTCTCATTATAAAGATAGTTCAGACAACTGAACTGCATCATAAATACGCAGTGATGGGTAAGATGAATCCCACCAGATGAGTATTAAACAGAATTGGAATGAATGTCATAAAGGTATAACATTTCTATAATAAGATTTTTTTTGGTTGTTGTTTACCTGATTTGGCCACTGACTTATTCCACACTGCTTACATTTGAGGAGATTTTTGTGAAATACAAATTACACTACATAATGTAAATTTCTGTACTGGAATTTCCAGCAAGTAATTGTTTGTTTAGAGCACATCATACTGCAATGTTACTACGTTCTTTTAGAAGCTTGATGCACCCAATTTGATTTTAAAATGTAACAAAAGCTGGCAATTTAGGGAGTAATTTTTGTTTAAAAATCAGACTGTTGAGCAAGGCTACCAATTAACACCACAGTTCAAAAGAAACCCCATATTATGGGTAACCAATGTTGATGCTGCTAACTAAAAAATCCTACCCGGCTATAGCCCAGTCTTAGGAAGTATAAAATACCTTCATGCCCTGACAGGTTCAAAATAAAAAAGAAAAAAATCTAACAGAAGTATATTTAGTTCAGGTGTATTTGAACCATAGTGCAAAAAAACCCATTCATAATTTGTCATTTTCATCATGAAGTTAATTCCTATTACTCCATATTCAATTAAAGACTGCAAAAAAATCATTTTTATGTTTGTAATAAGTACAGTAATACAAATATTCATTTTATGGAGCTGACCTAGTTAATGTTCTTTTTTTAACTACTTTCACTGCAACATGACAGCTTGCCACTTAGATCTCCAGAAGTTATCTCCATGATGCTTAATGAACAATTCTTCCAAGTGGCCTGAATGATAGCTATGAAACCATAAGATGTTCTATTACCATATCCTTAGAGTATAATGAAGGCTTCCAAAAATCAAGAAATGCATTAAAATTAAGGATAAATTATATGTAAATGACAAAAAGAAAAATTATGTAGATTTGAAGACTAGATAGACAGACTCTGATTCCCAGCCAGCCCATTTGCTGCCTCTGCTGGTATTCTTATCACATCATATTGGTCTAGGTCAAGGAGTCTTTGCTTGGTTCAGTCTAACTCAGCAGTTCCCAAACAATTAATTGTCAAATGCTGCACCAGTGATGGATTGGCATAAGGGTAATTTGAAGCCTTTCAGTTCCTCAAGCCTGTACTGTCACTTTTTTTTTTTTTTTTTTCAATTTTTTAAGGAAGAAAGATAACGCTAACAATTCTTAATTGTTACATTTGTTAAACATTGGAAAGAACCATAGCTGTCACCCTGGTTCACAAAAGTTCTGTTAGCACAGAGAAACACTTGTCTGCACTAAGGTCAGCCCATAACTGAACGTGCCACCTACAGAACCGGCTCTGCCTGACCTCTTTTTTTTTTTTTTTTGCCAAGTTTCTCTCCTCTTTAATCTGTAAGGACACTTTTTTCTTTCCTAAATGCATTTTCCTTACTTTTTAAAATTTTCTCCCAGCTCTGAATATATGCTTCCTCTTGCTTGATACATCCCTACATATATTTAGATATAAATCTATTTTATGTATACACTTTTTTACCTCGTTTTTCCCTTGTGACACAAAGAAGGTGACATAGAATAGATCTGGCAGGAAGAGATGAAGTCAGAAGATCTGCAAGAAAACCAAGTTTTCTCAAAAAAGGCAGCTGCACTGAATATGTAATATTTCACCAGATAAGGATCCTGGAGAGTAGCAAGAAATACTGATGTGTTGTAGGAAACAGCTATTCATAATACAAAAATTCAAGTGAAAGGAGATGGGTATTATTTTAACTACTAGTATATTCAATTACAATTGAGTAAAGATCAACTTTTCCTCACTACTGTTACCCAGAGTGTTGCGTGGCATCCACAGAAGTTTAAAGTCCATCTATGTAGCGTATCTCCAAAGTTTAAAATCCTAAGGGACAAATCGGCACTAGTATCTTTCCTCCAGAATGAAGTGTTGTAGTATTTGGACACACCATCACAGTAGTGAGAAATACAAGATTGACTGAGTCTAAGAGGTAGGATTAATGGAACAGTTATTAATAGAACCACTTAAAATGTGACCTTATTAATAATAAATGGGTATATAATTTATATTATTATTGCTATATCTTATGTTTCTTTGAGCACATAAAATGTTTCTGTTTGCATCTTGCTCTGCATATTGTATCTTACCATTGACCTGAAAAGCACAAAACCATACCAAAGAAATATATCTGTCTATATAACTCAGTCTTCAGATTGCTCCTTTTTCAACTGTCTGGGGGAAAAGCAGAGGAAAATCATGGATTTTTTCAGCCTTTCCAGCATTCTGGGTTCTGAAAAACTGAGTTCCAAAAGAAGCTTCTTGGCTGAATAAGACTTACCTCTCACTTCCACTTGCCATTCATCGCGTTGCTTTTATTCTGCAGAAATCTTAATTGTGGTCAAAGGAGAGGGAAAAAGGCTAAGTCTCAAAATATTAAGGTACTAAAAATTTATAATTAGCAGCTTAAATTTCACTAAAAGGCTTGGTATAATATGCTAAAGTCCATACGATGTTTGTATGAGCGTTTGTATGTATAAACGTTCATACCACAAAGCTTCACTTGGCAAAGAGGTGAGAGCATTTTACACTGCTCTCCGATTCAGAAGGGCCCCAGAGTATAAAGCACATTACAGTAATGTGTTAAAATGATAGCTCAAGGCAGGGGTTATTCTCACAAGGAATGAAAAAAACCCATCTATTGTGGTCTCAGTCATCACTTGCTTTTTCTGAGTAGCATAGGATAGATCAAGAAAAACAAGAAAGGTTTCTACAGGTACATTAACCAGCAAAGGAAGGTTAAAGAAAACGTACCACCCTTGGTGAGCAACAGTGGGGAACTTGTATCAACAAATGAGGAGAAGGCGGAAGTTCTCAACAACTTTTTGACCTTAGTCTTCATTGGCAACCCCTTTCCTCCTAGCTCTCATGTTGATGGCACACAAGTTGGAGACCAAGGTGACAAAGTCCCCCCCACTGTAAGTGTAGACAAGGTACGAGATCAACTCAGGAGCCTGAAGATATACACATCAATGGGACCTGATGAAATACATCCCAGAATCCTGAAGGAACTGGCTGACGTAGTTGCCAAGCCACTTTCCATGATATTTGAAAAATCATGGCAGTCAGGTGAAGTCCCTGCAGACTGGAAGAAGGGAAGCATCACACCCATTTTTAAAAAGGGTAGAAAGGAGGACCCTGGGAACTACCGACCTGTCAGTCTCACCTCTGTGCCTGGGAAGATCATGGAACAGATCCTTCTAGATGCCATGCTTGGGCACATGAAGGACAGGGAGGTGATTCAGGACAGACCCTTGGTGAGCAACAGTGGGGAACTTGTATCAACAAATGAGGAGAAGGCGGAAGTTCTCAACAACTTTTTGACCTTAGTCTTCATTGGCAACCCCTTTCCTCCTAGCTCTCATGTTGATGGCACACAAGTTGGAGACCAAGGTGACAAAGTCCCCCCCACTGTAAGTGTAGACAAGGTACGAGATCAACTCAGGAGCCTGAAGATATACACATCAATGGGACCTGATGAAATACATCCCAGAATCCTGAAGGAACTGGCTGACGTAGTTGCCAAGCCACTTTCCATGATATTTGAAAAATCATGGCAGTCAGGTGAAGTCCCTGCAGACTGGAAGAAGGGAAGCATCACACCCATTTTTAAAAAGGGTAGAAAGGAGGACCCTGGGAACTACCGACCTGTCAGTCTCACCTCTGTGCCTGGGAAGATCATGGAACAGATCCTTCTAGATGCCATGCTTGGGCACATGAAGGACAGGGAGGTGATTCAGGACAGCCAGCATGGCTTTACTAGGGGCAGGTCCTGCCTGACTAACCTAGTGGCCTTCTATGATTAAGTGACTAGGTCAGTAGATAAGGGACGACCTATGGATGTGATCTGTCTTGACTTTTGTAAGGCTTTGACACCGTCCCCCACAACATCCTGCTTGCCAAATTGGAGGGTATCGATTTAATGGGTGGACTGTTCAGTGGATAAGGAACTGGCTGGATGGTCGCATCCAGAGGGTGGTACTCAATGCTTCGAAGTCCAGATGGAGAGCAGTGACAAGTGGTGTCCCTCAAGGGTCCGTGCTGGGAGCGATACTGTTTAACATTTTTATCAATGATATAGACAGAGGGATTAAAGGCACTGTCAGCAAGTTTGCAGACAATACCAAGCTGTATGGTGTTGTCAATACACCAGAGGAATGGGATGTCATCCAGAAGGACCTGGACAGGCTGGAGAGGTGGGCCCAGGTGAACCTCATGAAGTTCAACAAGAGCAAGTGCAAGGTTCTGCACCTGGGCCAGAACAATCCTCGCCATCAGTACAGACTAGGGGGTGAGGTATTAGAAAGAAGCCCTGAGGAAAGGGACTTGGGGGTGCTGGTGGACAAGAAGCTGGACATGAGCAGGCAGTGTGCACTTGGATCTCAGAAGGCCAATTGCATCCTGGGCGGCATCAATAGAAGTGTTGCCAGCAGGTCCAGAGAGGAGATTCTTCCGCTTTGCTCTGGTGAGACCTCACCTGGAATACTGTGTACAGGTCTGGAGCCCTCAATATAGGAAGGACATGGACCTGATGGAGCAGGTCCAGAGGAGGGCCACAGGGATGATCAGGGGGTTGGAGCACCCCTGTTACGAGGACAGGCTGAGGGAGCTGGGGTTGTTCAGCCTGGAGAAGAGGAGGCTCTGGGGAGACCTAATAGCAGCCTTCCAGTACCTGAAGGGGGCCTACAGGAAGGCTGTTGAGAGCCTGTTTACAAAGGCCTGCAGTGACAGGACGAGGGGCAATGGCTTTAAACTGGAGGGGAGCAGATTTAGATTGGAGATTAGGAGAAGGTTCTTTACCCTGAGGGTGGTGGAGCACTGGCACAAGTTGCCCAGGGAGGTGGTTGAGGCCCCATCTCTGGAGATATTCAAGGTGAGGCTCGATGAGGCCCTGGGCAACCTGGTCTAGTTGGGGGTGTCCCTGCTGACTGCGGGGAGGTTGGACTAGATGACCTTTGGAGGTCCCTTATGGCTTGGATGATTCTATGATTCCAGGATTGTATATCAAATCCCTCAACCTCCTCAGCCATTTGAGTATGGCAATTGTGTCGTTCAGTCACAGCTGCCGATATAATTTGAACCAGTGCTTCTGTTGCTTTTCCCAGCTAACCTGCACTTTGATTTGTTTGGCTTAAGTTGTTTCTGAACAAATCTTTTTTTGAGGCCCAAGTTCATCTTGACATTGAACAATTTGTTGTGCTTGCTGAAACTCTTTCGATAAAAATAGATCCTGCATTTTCCCCTGTCCTAATTTGTTGTTGTGAGATTCTTCTGTCCTGGCTTGAAATGTCTGGTTTATTGAGATCCAGTTTAAACACACTTATGTCATGATAAATGACCTTGAAAGTATATTTAATTTGTTTGGGTTTCTTTTTCATATTTTTTTACTGAACTATAGGTGTATTGAGATTAACAAATAACAGCAAAAAATTATAAATTAAAGTTTTAAGATCAGTTACATTCATGATTGTAAGCCTCACCTTGCCACACATCTGGCTTTATGATTATTTCATGAAGACTGTCATGTAAACCTCTAAGAGAATACATTGAAGCATTTGTTTTCCAAAATCTGTGTCTATGCTTGCTGGGAATGAAATTCAGAGTTGCAGTCTTAGATAGCCCTTTATGGCACCATTTTAACATCTAAAAATTCAGTACAGGGCTCTGCATTGCTATTTTTGTAATCGACCACAATAATGTTCACTGAACCATGTCAAAAGTAGTGAGTAGTGCCATTCTGCCTATGGAAAGCAAAATATAACCACCTTGCGTGAGGGGACATCTGACAGTAAGGGGGGAAACTTCTGATGGGATGAGAAAGCAGTAGTGACCTTCATTTCTCTGGCACATAAGCAGACCTGAAAATGCTTTTATACCTGCTTCTGTGATATACAGAAGATATTTTTAACCTAAGACCATCAAGAGATGTGTGAGGAGAACTGGACTCTTATCCAAGTATTCTATCAGGCTCAAGATTTCTGTGGTATTTTTCTCCACCATTGCTGGCGGGTGAAGTCAGGCATACGACATTCCCATCCCACACCCTAGTTCTGTCATTTGTGAAAGAGAAATAGTCATAACAAGCCTATTTTTTAGGTACTATTTCAAAAAATCAGAACTAACCCCCATCTTCACCCTCCTTGGTACTCCAGTACCTGCATTTGTCATTGCCAAAAGCAGAAGTGCAGGATGAATATGCTGCTCTTTAGACCCAGGAGATGCTCAGAACTGCCTACAAAGCTGGGATGGTTTGGGAAGGGGGAAAATACACACTACATATGTAGATAGTGAGGGAGATTGACAACTTCAGAGATTTTGTAATCATTTACGTAATAAATGCCTTCTTAACTTCACTATTCTTGACTGACTTCCTGCTTGTTAGTGTTTTCTTTTTTTTTTTTAATTTAAACTTGTCAAATGTGAAAGATTTGCAAAAAAAATTCAGAAAGGATATTTCATAAGTCCATGTTTGCTCTTCATAAGAAAGCTGTAGATGCTACCAAATGGTATTTTCTTATGACTACTTAACTACACATGCACAAAGGCTTCATTTTCAAAATTAACTGTTAGGGCTGCGTTGCTCTTCAGTGACCTGCTAGCCCACTCAAAATTTAATGGTCTCCATCAGGAGTTGTGCCAAACTATTTCTAACTAAAACGATGAGGCAAACATAAAGCCAAGTCTTTGATGATGACATAAAAAATGATTATATAGAAAATAGGGATCCACACAATAGATGCTGGGGGTGGGGGGGATATCAGTCAGATAGTGACAGTTCCATGTTTGAAATACCACACATTATACGTCTGATGATTTAACTACAAAAATATTCCCTGTCCTTTTCTCTTTGTAGGAAAGTGGCATCTTGGGATGAACTGTGAAAGCAGTAATGACTTCTGTCACCACCCCCTCAGTCATGGATTTGATTACTTTTATGGGCTTACTGTGACCAATTTTAGAGACTGCAAACCTGGCCAAGGCAGTGTATTTTTAAAAGGGGTTCAGAAATCCCTTGTCATCCCAATCCAAATCGCTGGAATCACCTTGGTCTCTTTGGCAATAGTGCATTACATCGGCCTCCTCAAAGTACCTTTCCAAGTATTGGGTTACTGCTTGTTAATAACTGCTATTTCACTTGCAGTTTTGATCTTTTTCTTTTATCATTTTCGACACCTGAACTGCTTCTTAATGAGGGACCATCAGATTATCCAGCAACCACTATCCTATGAGAACCTTACTCAGAGACTGACAAAGGAAGCCATACAGTTTATAGGAAGGTAGGTTTCTAACTGTGTTATAAGTTTATACTGGCATTTCACAATGATGATACTTCTGAAAAAGTAGAAAAAAATTGTGAACTTGTGGGCATGAGGAATATGTCATTATATGTAATTATCATTTTTTTTCCTGTAAAAGATCACTGAAGTTAATCTTTTTTGTGAAAGTGACTGTTTTTTTCTATAGGTTGTGTCATTATTTTCTCCATAAAAATTAAAATCTATTTATATTTATGTGCTTAGGGAAAAAAGAATCAAAGATATCTAACTTTTTTAGGACTTCCATTCTTGAGAATTTCATGTCACTTGAAATCTTTTGTGGTGTGACTAAATTATGTGAAAGTATGATGCAGAGTCATAATCTATGACTTCTCTAGAGTAGGAAACTGTTCTTCATCATTGATTTGAAGCATCCATTATTTGGCATTCATAAGGACAATTTCTTTCCAGATACTGCAATTTTAGATGCCTTCACTTTTATTCCAGACTCACTTTGAAACTATGTGATTTACAGAAGTTAGGAAATAAATGTGGGGGGCTTTTAAGTGATGATTTTGTAATAGACGTCACATTGGGTCACCTAAACATTGGATGTCCAAAATCATCCTAAGTCATTCTTCAGTTTTGAAAAGTTAGCTTTATTTTGGCATAATTGTCACCACGGGGGTTTTAATGGGATCAAATCACAAAAGTATACATTTGCATATTCTGAAATATAAATCAATATATTTTGAGCAAAAATATTTCATCCACTTAACTTCTCATAAAATATTCCAATATCTGTTTCTGAGTCACTTTTGAAACAGGTCACATAATTTCTAAAAATAGTTAATCATAAGTAAAAACATGTTCTAAGACATAAGTCATCCCTTAATTACTATTCCAAAAAGTATGTACCAGGTAGTTACTGTGAATACACTGACATGGTGTCATGGCTGAATGAAAACTTACACCAAAGAATCAGAAGCTAGGTTGTCTAGAATTAATGACTGCATGAAATAGTAATCAGGACTGTTAGCAAGAAAAAATGCTTATCTAAAATCTTGATCTCATACTGCAATTTTTTTAAATTTTTTTCTATCATTATAATTATTTGATGTGGCCATCTATACTCATCAAACCAAAATAAAATGGTTTTTATAACAGATTTCTTTAAGCGAGTAAGTCGTCCCAACAATCAACATTCTCATGAGTATTTATAAATAAACTAAAACGTCTTTATTTCCTCTTGGCAATGGTGATGAAGATGCCTTCTCATCTACATTCTAATTAATATAGCAGTGAAGTACTTTGTTTGCTACAAACATACACACATAACCCCCTATGAAAGTTGAGAACTTGTTTGCTTAGTGACCAAGCTTTTGGTGATTTTAAAAGGCTTTTGAGGACATTAACTATATGTTGGCAGATTCTTCCATGACTAATAAGTATGTGATCTGCCTATAGTGATTCATAATTTTTTTGATATCTCTGTATGTTATTGACTTCAATGACAATAAACTGGTAGCCCCAAAACAGGTGAGTTCAAGATTGGAAATCTATGCCAGGAAACTAGTAACTCTTTTATCTATATTAATATTCATAATATGGACAATGTTATTCTATAGCTTATTCAGTGTTTAGAGCTGGCAAAACAATGTATCATCTAAGTCAGCATAGCGTTGTTGACTCAGCTGAAGGTAAGTGGCTTTACATCAGCTGAGCGCTTGGCCCCAGTCCTCAATGTAGTTTCCAAACAAAAGTGATGTTAAATTGTAGTCAAGGTTAATAGCACATATTTGTAATTTACAATAAACTTTGTTACAGGAATGCAGCAATTATAGTGAGAATTATAATCCAGACAATTCAGAGTCAATGTTAAATTAAAGATTATCCAAGCGCATGAATTTATTGGGAAGCAATTAGGGCATTCGAGCAATCTTAACTGTGCCCTATAGTGAATTCACATGTGAAGTATATGAAGTATATGAACTTGCTCCTGGGGATAGGAGTAATTAGATTAATATTCACTGAACTGATCTGTCCCATATATTAGTGTAAGCAACAAATTCACTATTTGCTTTGACACACTGGTTCTGACATTATATAGTTCATACCTGTGAACTCCAGTGCACCAGTAGACCATAGCTTTTAAGACTAATCTACTGACTTTGGTCATTTGTATGCGAACAGCCGTCAAGAGGCAACCTGGTTGCAGCAGCAGTTAAACATCCGGCACTCGTAAGTGAAGGGCCACCAGGTATTTGGAAGCCATGGTTGCTCATCATCATTCTTGTTGTTTCATTTCTTTCAGCAAGCAGTGCCCCTCAACCCTCCTTTAGTCACATGTTTGACTCAGCACTTGATTTGTCATAGAGGCTTCTTTTGTTCAAAAAATACAATAAGTAGCAAGCTCAGTCCTGTACACCAGTAATCCCTGTGCACAAGTATACCAGGGTACAAACAATGCTGATTTTGAGATTTCAGAGTCAGTCACCTTAACGCTTCCTAATACATTTTATCATCAAACTAAAAATCATCAGCTATCATACATGTTAATTGGTCAGTTATCTTTACAGTAAATATATGATGAAACTCAAATCTTCAACACCATTGGTACTTCCTATGTAGCCCTCTTATGCTATATTTATATAATATATATACGAATGTATATATAGTTATATATATATAACAATTACAATGTAATTGTTTCATCTATGTAAGTTTATTATACCTATTACCTATATTATTTTTATAACTTCTTCAGAGTTCAGGCAATGGACTTCCTGACGCCATTCTCTTTTCTAGCTTTTTCTCAGTCATATTGTCAGCTTTATGACTTCTTGCCATGTGTATATTAATTAGGTTTTGCATTTTTCAAGTCTTCTTGTAATCTATTCATAGCATATACCTACGTGCTGTTGTACTTATTTTGGTCTAGTTTTTTGAGGGGTGATATTTTATTTGTTCTTCCTTAGCCTAGGATATGTGTATTAATTTTTATTTGCCTGGCCCCAGGGCAGGTAAGACTACACTGGGAGAAGGGACCTGTAGCTAAAAAGGCCAACGAAAAGCTCTTTTTGGGACTTTTGAAACCAGGCAAAGCCCCCTACTTGTGCTGGGGGCTGACAGCTGGTGGGCAGGCTGCTGAGTAAGCCTGGGCAGAGCCAGCTCCTCCCATGGTTCATCAGACCACCAGGTTATAAGAAGCCTCAGGGAAGGTAGAGCCTCTACCTGCTGAGCTCAGGGGGATATCTAGTGCTTGTTTGTGTTCCTCAGTGGGTGTCTCAACCAGTTGCAGCTCATACAGTTGGGCACTGAGCCTCTGCCAGTGTACAAGGTAAGCTCAGCCCCGCTCTAAGCTTTCAGACAGCTAGGGCACTCATCCCGACTGACCCTCAAGTTTCCAAGTGTAAACTGCTTGCATACTTCCAGCCATGGTTACTACCTGGTCAAAGGCTGTTGTTAGAAAAGGAAAAGCTGTGGGCACCCAGAGGGAGGCCCCACGCAAACATGATGTGAACAGGTGAATGATCTGCTCTTACAGGTGGCTGAGCTGCAGGATGAAGTGGAGAGGCTGAGGAGTGTCAGGGAGTGTGAGAGAGAGATTGACTGGTGGGTGCACTCCCTGAGGGTAAGGGAACAGGGTGAGACCTCACATAAATCAGAGGACCCTCTCCCCTCTTCTCACCAGGCAGCAAGAGGTGATCTTGGAGAAGAAGGGGAGTGGAAACAGGTCCCTGCTTGGCAAAGCGGGTGAATGCCTTCTGGACCCTTCCCAGCTCCCCAGTTACCCTCAGGAATATGGTTTAGTGATTTTTATTTCTTATTTTTTATTTATTTTTTGTCAAAGTTAGGTTGATGGTTGGACTAGATGATCTTTAAGGTCCCTTCCAACCTAGATGATTCTATGATTTGTTCCCAGGTAAATTGAAAGAGAGTAAATACAATAGTCAGTGCTCAAAAATGGCACTGGAGAAAAATATATACAACATACAAGTGTCAGATCCAGTGTCTGAAAGCAAAACTGGTATAGTTGCTCACCCTATTTGTAAGTGGGCAGGTAAGCTCAGTGTGTGTTAGTTCTAATTACTTTTTCCCAAGAGCAACTATGCAATATTGTAAACCTATCAGAACGTTCCCTAGACATTACAGTATATTTGAAAGTCAAATAGATTCTAATTATTTCATGCTAAGTTCAGTGTGGTTGTCACTCATGTCTCTTCAGCATGTCCTTTAATGAGTAGCTGCACAGACAATCCAGATTTGGAAAATGCCGGAAACCTGTTTTTAGGACAACAGTACTACTTTGTGATACAGAATACTTCTCTGACAGTTTTGGATAGCTGATCAATTATTATCAATAATTATTGAAAATATCAATACCATATTTTTCAATAATTATTAAATCAATACAATTGATCACAATACAATAAATCAATACAAATCAATAATTATTAAAAAAAATCCTAACGAAATAACTTTTGGAAAACAGTATTTGCATACAAACATGTTTATATTCAAAAACTATGGTGAAGATGATGTTGAACAGTGTTAGTGCAGATATTTTTTTTTCAGTCACAGATTGCATAGTCATAATAATCAGAATTTTGTGATGACAGTTAATATTTTTATTTTCTTTTTATCTAGTCTATTTCAGTCCTTGAATCACTGTTGAAACACAGATTCAAATTTATTTCCATCTAATCTAGCAGACTGTGGTATAGAGTTATTCCATACATCACTAGGTCTTAAGGCATTTGGCATGTACTGGAGTTAGAGTTCTGAAATCAAGTTTTTTTTATGAATCCTACAAGAAGATTCTTTATATTTTACAGCAAAATACAAATTATAGAGAAGAGTTTGTGCATCTTTGTACACATATGATGTATATGTATGCGTATATTAAAAAAGGGTCATAATTTATAAGCCATAACAACTCTACTGGATCTTCATTCTTTTTCTCAACCCTCTGCTTGTTCCTTTTGAACAGAATAGCTGATGTATTTATTCCTATATTTTAGTGTCATCTGAAAATGAAAGATTTTAGTCATTTAAGAATGATTAAGGACCTAAATAGTTCTACAATGAGTGATAGGCTGCATTGTAAATGGAACACTTCTAAAAAGCAGTAGATCTGTAAACTGGCCTCCAAAGTTTTGTGGGGGAGAGGACTTATTAATGAATATAAACTGTAGTAGGCAAGAAAATATTTTCTTTTTTTCCCATGCTTATGAAAATGTAATAAAAAAGAAAAAAGGTTATATACAAAAGACATAAAAGCACATGTAAATTGTTTACCTGAAGCATTTAATGGATGAAATAAGCATGACATTAGAGATGTCAAAAGTATCTTTGCTACTTGCATGGAAGAATCATTTCAGAAATGCAGATATGGTAGAAACATATCCCACTTCTAATATCTTCTAGATTTTCCATATTTTCCATATTTCTACATTTTTTCCCTTTCTTACTCCATTTTCAAAACTTTTCTGATTTTGATAAGTTACTCTCAAGTGGTCTGGAGTCCTCTTTTCTCATTTTGAAAAATTTTGAAAATATGAGATTTGTGGTTTAAAGTGTGTCTTAAAAAAGAGTAAGAGACAAATATGAATTGATGGATTCAGTCATGCTGACAAGAATTTTAGCACTGTTAGCGGTTAGAACAAAAGAAAATCCAGCTTGTAGGACAAAGTCCTGCTTTGATAAAACTAAGCCAAGGTTTACCTTTTCCTTCTGCAGGAACAAGGATTAATGAAGTACATTCAGCCAGTCCAGTCACAAAGAACACTAATTGTTGATCTAATTTGGGAGTAGAGGAAGGAGCCATGGGGAATAAGCACTGAATGAATGTATCCACTAGGGGGGATATTGCATAAGAAGATTATTTTTATTGAAGGAGAGTTACTGGAGAGAAAAAAGTTAAGGTTGAATCTGCCTGTATCAACACACTGTTACATATTTGTGCTGAAAATATATCTACAGATTATATACTTCAACATTTTTGTTTTCTTTCATTTTAGCTGTGTCTCTGGTGCACTGTGACTGTGAAAATGACATATTCTCATTCAATAAGTCTTGTTAAATCATATGTACTTATCCTTATAAGAAGTAATATATTTTACCCCTATATCTATTTCAAATAGTTCTTTGCAGACTGCTTCAATCTTATGAGGAAATTAGCTGGAATTTATAAGATTTTAGAGATGACAGAAAAAATTCTTAACCAATTTTAACACAGCACAATGTTTGCCCAGCTCCAGCAAAGCCAAGTATATCTGCTCTCATAGTCAGCTGCTGTGAATCATAGCACCTTCACTGGTATAGAGGGTGTAGTAATCTAATGGGTTAAAAATATGTATTTTAGAACAGACTTTGAGTATAATTTTATATCTAGCAAAAAAAAAAAATTGTTCAGAAAGGTCATACTTGTCCATTATGTTAAAGGTAAATTTAGAATTTATTGTGAGAAAATAAAACTGTGTCTGTGTTCCCATCTTGTTTCCTGTATAGAATCATACTTGAAATCTTAGTTTGATTTGACAACGGCAGGCCATCAGATCCAGAGCACACCTGTTTCTCTGGTGCAGTGTTCTTATATTGAAACCTCTCCACAGAAAAGCAAACAAAAGCACCCAAAGAGTCTTCAATGCAATAAATGTTTAAAGCAAAATTGCAGGAAAAAAGTTAAAAGACCCATGTGTGAAGCACAAAGATTAGTTGTAACTTTCTCTCTTGCCCACTTTAAAGCTGTATTTTACAGCCCAAGCCTGAACTAAATGGTTCAGTGATGTAAAGACTCTTGATACTAAATAAGAAGAACCTAGTACTATGCAATATAGAGGAGTCACCAGCAAGGCAATGCATATAGATGTTTTCAAGATTGGTTAAGTGCACATTGAAGAATGTCTTATGTCAAATGTGTGTAATCTCTCTGGCTACTCAATAAATTGAAAAGACTGTGTGATTCATGTTGGATACCATCTTTTACTATATTTGAGCGAGTGAACCTCAGATTCTTTGAAATTGAAGATCCCTGTGTTTAAACTGTGTCAAAGATAGTGACAATACATTTTTGAAGGAGCTGTTTACTGAAGTGGTTCAGGAGTTAAGCTGTTATTGTCAAATTTCTCTCCTACCTACTAGCTGATATTGTCATACCATTTTCAAGGTCATGGTAAAGGTAGTCAGTTATGATTCTCCTCAAAGAGTTTTGGCAGGAGATAAATAGCTGCCTGTGATCTTTTATAGGATATTATTAGGTGAGACACTTCTCCACCTGACAGCAAACTGTCAATCAAAACCTGTCAATTTGAGTTGTAAAGAAGAGAATGATGTAGTGCTCTTCCATATCAATCATTGATTTGATGACTCTTCGTGAAATTTAGATCTTTGTGTCAGTTCTATTTAAAAAAAAAAAACAAAAACTAACAAAACAACAATAAACCTGAAATATTATCTCTTGAAAATAACATTTAAAGTGCAGGTTTTTGATTCTCACTTGTAGCAATAGTTTTAATGTTTAGAAGTATGCACCATCTCTGTGATATTAGAACAAGGCAGTTGGCATGATGAGTAAGTTGTGCCTCCACCATCATAAGTATAAAGTAGATTTTTGTGGTGTTTTCCTCTAGAATTTGTATATTACTCTAAATTCAGTGAACTGTGTTTAAGGAAAAAGTCAAAGATAATCCCATGCAGTAAAATATGTAGGTTGTAAACCAAAAATCAGCTGCCTTGAAGAAATGTTCTTTAACGAAAGGTCAGTGTTACATTACTATACATATGCAAGATTAAAATTAAAAGTATACATCTTTTTTTTTCATTATTTGAAGTGCTGACATTTTCAGTCTTTTTAATTGACTTAGAACTCTCGTGTTATTTTTTGCTAAAGTAATGAAAGGTTCTCACATATGTGACCTCTCAAGTAGCAACAAACACAACTTCATGGAAAGTGTCTTTTCTCAAAAATACTGTTTTCTCTTTATTTTTTTTAATCCGTTCTTTATAATAATAAGGTAAAACAGGATACATGCACAAAATTTTGAAGGGAATTCAAATAATTTTGTTTCCATTTTCCACATGAAAAATGTTTTATTTATTGTCATTTTAAAAAAAGAAAAGGAGAAGCTTTTTATGAAGATAAATTCCCAGTCAGAAACACACTTATCAAGTGAGTAATCTGGATAAATGTTTCTCATTTTGAGTTTATGTACTGCTGCCTATGCCAGTAAAAAAGAAAGCTTTAACCCTGCAACTTGTGCAAAAAGAGATCCAACCAAGGAGAGAGGAAAAATGTATCATAAATATATTAGATTAAATCTACTTATTTTTCCTTAAGAGTAAAGTATTGATATCATATGAATCTCTTTTATTAAAAGATTTTATTTTCAGGTTCTAAAGGTTAAATTTATTTTAATTTATTTAATTTAATTTAATTTAATTTATTTTATTCTTTAAAGAAGCAGTTTGTATGTGTATGTTTGTCTTGTTTCTTTCATTTTTAAATGGATGATGAATCAACTGCATAAGGAAATGTATAGTCTCCTGTTGATGTTGATGTGAATCACAGGTATTATCCACCACAGATTGGTGAGGGAAAATATAGCAAATAAAACCAAAAATACTCTGTAATCGGCTGTGTGCTTTAAGGTGAGATTCAGACAAGTTTTCTGGGTAGTGCTTTTCTGATTCAACTGATATTTACAATATGCATCATGTACTACAAATGCTGTTACAGAGTATAGCAGTAAATTTGGCTAGTAGTGCACAATTTTAAGTAAATTTCTTTAAATAATGCATAAGAAAAAGTTCTTACTTGAGCTGTGCTTTCACAGCCTGCTGGAATGTATCATAAATACTGTGTTGACAGATCACATGAGCAGCAAAATTTGCAGAAAGTCTATTTATTGCACTCTTTCTTTTGTATCAGTTCAAGAAATAGAATGAAGGCAATGAAGACTGTTCATTATTGTCAGAGGAAAAAGATTTCTTTCTATTAGTATGTACTTTGAGATTATTTATATTTTGGTACAACATGTTTGTAGTGTTATGTACTGATCACTTGCATACACACACAGAGCATTAAACGTCAAGAGAAGATTTGGTCGTATGCCTTAGACTGGGTTAAAGAAGGAGGAAAAGTACTAGTATACTTGATTTAATATAGTCAATGATATTATGGTATGTTTGACCCTGGTCCTCGTAATAGTCTAGTTGATCAGCTTCCATATGACCTTGTGAAGAAGATAGTTGTGTTTCACATATATGTGTAGTTATGAAGGTATAGTTTTGAACAACAGTTTTGTTCTGGCTTTTATATATGTACTTGTAAATTGAAGAGAGGTGCTTGTACCCAGAAGCTGCTGGGTTCTTAACAAGTCGCCTTTCAATATATAGCAAACAGTAATTAGATTTTGTTGATAATTTTTGCTTTTGATACAATATACCGTAAAGGATGAAACTTTTAGTCTGTGTATGTGTTTTCAGGATTATCCTGTAAATAGTTACAGTATTGGTTTTCCTCTTTTTTTTTTTTTTTTTTTACTGTAGAAAGATTTCTATGTATAAATTTTGTTACAAAATATACTAAGGGTTTGGGGTTTTGTTTTGTTTTGTGTTTTTTCCAGGAACACTGATGTACCGTTTCTTCTTGTCCTGTCTTATCTCCATGTCCATACTGCTCTCTACGCTTCAAAAAAATTCAGAGGAAAGAGCAAGCACGGTTTATATGGGGATGCAGTGGAAGAAATGGACTGGAGTGTAGGTATGTTACATGTATGTTACATGTGCTTCTAACATCAATGGAGGAAATTCATGTCCACCAAATGCAGCAGTTTGGATGTCTACAGTGTATCTGACGTGTACAGTGTGTCCTCTATACTTAGGGGAAAGAAACAGTAATTGAAAAAGCACTATAATCTGATCTTTGGTAGTATCTACTTTATGATTCAAGTTATTGTGTCCTACAAATGCCTGCTCTCTTCTTTGACTATGAAGGTAATCCGTACAGCACGGATTTAGCAGAGCTATGGACACCTTAACTATGGACATTTGAAGCAGAGTGGTTGAATCCAACTCCATGAGCTTCTGGGTGCCATCTGGGCTCTGCAGGTTGTCCTCATAAAACAATATCATAGAATCATAGAATCATAGAATTTCCCAGGCCGGAAGGGACCTCCAAGGGTCATCTAGTCCGACCTCCCCGCAGTCAGCAGGGACACCCCCAACTAGACCAGGTTGCCCAGGGCCTCGTCGAGCCTCTCCTTGAATATCTCCAGGGATGGGGCCTCAACCACCTCCCTGGGCAACCTGTTCCAGTGCTCCACTACCCTCACAGTAAAGAACCCCCTTCTAATCTCCAATCTAAATCTGTTCCCCTCCAGCTTGAAGCCATTTCCCCTCATCCTGTCACTACAGGCCTTTCTAAACAGGCTCTCCCCAGCCTTCCTGTAGGCTCCCTTCAGGTACTGGAAGGCTGCTATTAGGTCTCCCCGGAGCCTCCTCTTCTCCAGGCTGAACAACCCCAGTTCCTTCAGCCTGTCCTTGTAGCAGAGGTGCTCCATCCCCTTGATCATCCTTGTGGCCCTCCTCTGGACCCTCTCCATCAGGTCCATGTCCTTCTTGTATTGAGGGCTCCAGACCTGCACACAATACTCCAGGTGAGGTCTCACCAGAGCAGAGTAAAGTGGCAGAATCACCTCTCTGGACCTGCTGGCAACGCTTCTTTTGATGCAGCCCAGGATGCGATTGGCCTTCTGGGCTGCAGCTGCACACTGCCTGCTCATGTCCAGCTTCTCGTCCACCAGAACCCCCAAGTCCCTTTCCTCAGGGCTGCTTTCCAACACCTCACCCCCTAGTTTGTATTGGTGGCGAGGATTGTTCCGGCCCAGGTGCAGAACCTTGCACTTGCTCTTGTTGAACCTCATGAGGTTCACCTGGGCCCACCTCTCCAGCCTGTCCAGGTCCCTTTGGATGACATCCCGTCCCTCTGGTGTATCGACAACACCACACAGCTTGGTATCATCCGCAAACTTGCTGATGGTGCCTTTAATCTCCCTGTCTATATCATTGATAAAAATGTTAAACAGCACCGGTCCCAGCACGGACCCTTGAGGAACACCACTTGTGACTGGTCTCCATCTGGACTTTGAGCCATTGAGTACTACCCTCTGGATGCGACCATCTAGCCAGTTCCTTATCCACTGAACAGTCCACCCATCAAATCCGTACCCCTCCAATTTGGCAATCAGGATGTTGTGGGGGACCGTGTCAAAGGCCTTACAGAAATCCAGATAGATCACATCCATAGGTTGCCCCTTGTCTACTGACCAAGTCACTTTATCATAGAAGGCCACTAGGTTAGTCAGGCAGGACCTGCCCCTAGTAAAGCCATGTTGGGTGTCCTGGATTACCTCCCTGTCCTTCATGTGCCCAAGCATGGCATCTAGGAGGATTTGTTCCATGATCTTCCCAGGCACAGAGGTGAGACTGACAGGTCGGTAGTTCCCAGGGTCCTCCTTTCTACCCTTTTTAAAAATGGGTGTGATGTTCCCCTTCTTCCAGTCTGCAGGGACTTCACCTGACTGCCATGATTTTTCAAATATCATGGAAAGTGGTTTGGCAACTACATCAGCTAGTTCCTTCAGGACTCTGGGATGTATCTCATCAGGTCCCATGGACTTGTATATCTTCAGGCTCCTGAGTTGATCTCGTACCTTGTCTTCACTTACAGTGGGAGGGACCTTGTCACCCTGGTCTCCAACTTTTTTGTCATCAACACAAGAACTAGGAGGAAGGGGGTTACCAGTGAAGACCGAGGCAAAGAAGTCATTGAGAACTTCTGCCTTCTCCTCATCTGTTGATACAAGTTCCCCACTGTTGCACATCAGGGGGGGTACATTTTCTTTAACCTTCCTTTTCTGGTTAACGTACCTGTAGAAGCCTTTCTTATTTTTCTTTACGTCCCTTGCCAAGTTCAGTTCTAGCTGTGCCTTGGCCTTCCTGACCTCATTCCTACACATCTTGGCAGCATCCCTATACTCTTCCCAGGATGCCTGTCCCTTCTTCCATTTCCTGTGTAGCCCCATCTTGCCCCTTAGTTTGACGAGCAGGTCTTGGCTCAACCATGGTGGTCTCTTGCCCTCCTTGCCCATTTTCCTACATGTGGGGATTGAGATCTTTTGTGCTCTATAGAGAGCATCCTTAAAAATCTGCCAGCTTTGTTCCGCTCCCTTGTCCCTGAGGGCTGTTTCCCATGGGGTCCTATTTACTAACTCCTTGAAAAGCTGGAAGTTTGCTTTCTTGAAGTTTAGAGTCCTAACTGTGCTTCTGGTGAGCTTCAAACTCCTTAGGACAGTGAACTGCACTAGGGCATGATCACTGCAGCCTAGGCTACCTTCAATTTTGATATCCCTGATGATTTCACTTGCATTTGTGATCAACAGATCCAACAATGCATTTCCTCGAGTAGGGCTGTTAATTTCTTGTCGCAGGAAGTTGTCATCTAGGCACTCTAAGAGCTTCCTGGATTGTCCTGGGGGTGATTTTTTTGGTTTTTTGGTTTGGGTTTTTTTGGGGGATGGAGGTTTTTTGTTTGTTTGTTTGTTTTGTTGTTGTTGTTGTTTTATCCCTATTGAAGGGACTACTTATTTCCATTAACCTCCACTGAAAATTCCAGGCTTAATGCATCAACTATGTAGACAAAGTAGGTTTATTCACTGTACTGCTGATGTCAGTAACCAGTATTTTCTTGGAGTGCCTCTGAAGATGTTACAGTAGAAAAGTCCAGCAAAATTGTCTGGAAAAGCTGAAAAAGTGAAAACTATAAGCTTTCCACAACGGGAGTTTTCATCACTCTCTAGACAGAAATTAGTATTTATGCTTAGATGAATGTAACTTGCAAAAGCAATAAGAAAAAGATATGCTTTACAGCCTCCTAATTAAATACAACACAAGCATCAGAAGAAAAAATGAGTGTATGGAAAATAGCATTATAGTACAACATCAGAAATGTCTGTCATCCAATAGTAAAACAAACTCCAACATCAACTCAGTTCTAAAAGACACTTAGAATGTGTTATTTGCTGAGTAGGAAATATTAGGAAAAATCCTTGTAGATGAGTAAAAATAAATTAATAAAAAAAAAGTAGAAGTTAGAAGTAGAAGTAGAAATTCAGAGTGCCAGGTACCAGTGATGAAAAAGTTATATTTTAAGATTAGGCCATGAAATGCAAAAGAAATATTGTTCCTGATTTGAGAGATCAGCTGGAATCAGAAAGAAGTGTTTAGCTGCCGTTTGCAAGAGAAAAAGCAACAGCCTTTCTAGTAAGACAGAGAATTTCACTCAAACTGAGAATTCTAAATCAAAGACAATTACTCCATTTTCATTTGTTTACTTATGGAGAATCAATTACCTAATTGGACAATAATTCAATTATAAAGGAATCTCCATGCTAGGAGGAGAAAAACCTAAAAGACACATGAATAAAATTCTCCCTTGAATATTTTGTGTTTGTGACTTGTTAAACTGATACTGTATGATTACAGTCCATGTCAAAAATACGGAATACAAAGTCTCTGGATAAGCTTTGGGATGATGAATGTCTACTGCTTTTGCATACTGATGTGTGTATAACAGAATTGAATGTTTAAAGCATTCACAGTTACAATGTCACTGCATGTGACATGTCTAAGAGAGTTATTCTCTGGCTAATAACATTAATTTTCTTTCAATGTAGGCTAAGCACCTTATTAATGCTATTAATTATAATTCATATGAGAGCAGATAAAATAATCTTACAGGCTAAAAATGGAAAAAATAAATGATGAATGAATTAATGCAATATTATCCTTGTCTTCCTTCCTCCCTTCTTCCCTTTCTTTATTCCTTCATTCCTGATTGAGTATAGGAAGAAAAATGGACATGTTCAGAAATTAGTTTTGATGTAAATTCATTACAGTAATTTAGTCCAAAACAGATCACTGCAAAGAGTTTTGGAGCCCCCTGTAGACTTGCATACAAGCTGTGTGAAGACACACTAATTTGACACCACTTTTGCAAATGGCTGTTTATTCTTCTGTTAACAGTAGTAAAACTACTTATCAGTTCTTAATCCTTTGTGGAACAATTATAACTGAATGGTTAGGTGTAAAAAAAGTCTCCAAATTTTCAGTCTGGCACAAGTTAAGTAACTCTAGAGTAGAGTTATGGATATCTTTATTATGTGAATGTCCTGCAAGCTGAAAAAAAAAATTAATGGCTTCTCTGCCATGATCTTTTGACCTGTCTTTGGATGAAGTTATACCAACAAAATATTTCTATCATCTGATGTTAGTTAATTAGAAGAAAAGGAGTGGAAATAAATCCCAGTACCTCTTACATGTAACTTGTGTTTGGAATACTTTCGAAATTTTGGTGGAGTCATATATGAAGAGAGACTCTCCCCAGTACAAGAGGGCTATGAAGCTACTGTAAAGTGTCCAGCAAAGGGTCATGAAGATGATTAAGGGACCGGAGCATCTCTCCAGTTGGAAAGACTGAGACAGCTGGGATAAGAAGTGTGTTCAGCCTGGAGAAGAGAAAGCTGAGGGAGGATCTTATTAATATACATAAATATCTGAGAGGAGGGTGTAAAGAGGATGGGGCCAGGCTGTTCTCATTGATGCTCAGTGACAAGAATCAAGGGGCACGAGCTGAAACACAAAAGATTCCCTCTGAATATCAGGAAAAACTTTTTTGGTCTGAGGGTAACCAAACACTGGAAT